GACACTATATACCCACTTCCAATGGAGAGTAAGTAGTCATCAGAAAGGGACAAAGAATTGATGCCAATCGCTCAGGCACCTTTATCTGTGGCATCAAAGACCTCAGTAATGAACGGATCAGCACAGACCAAGACAAAATGATTCTGCACATGTCATTTACTTCAAGCAGAAAATTACATTCCTTCATACAGGGCAAGTACAGTTCAAATGTTCAGGAAGGACATAAAGTAGCCCTCCAGCCACTCTTCCATCTTCTAGCTGAGAGCAGTTACAGACTATGAAGAAAGCACTGGAGACAATGGATCTAATACTGAGATACAGGTAGGCTTTGAAACCTGCACCACTATCAATATTGTCAAGGATCTAGAAGAACTTCCCAGGATTAAAATGCATCTTGAAGAAATTGCTGTTGGCTGTCACCAGGCCAGTCTCTGAAAAAAAAAATCTTCACTTTGGAATGGACTTCTATACACTACCTATTCAAGCTATCGTAATCCTAGCTTCATCCACCTTTGAATGCTGACCATTCTTCTCTGCTATTTGGGTCTTTTCCTACATCTGGAAGACAGGAATTGAGGTTGATTTGGTTTACACTGTCCCTTATCTATTAAAAGGTACTAGAATAGGTCTCTGATTGATGCAGCTGTTCAACGGCATACTGCTTTTGAATGATTCTAGCTTTCAAAACACAGTATGCATCTTTGGCAATATAGTCTAATAGTAACTGGTAAAAAATTAATAAAAACAAAACCATGTATATATGCTATGCTAACTACACTGGAACAAGAATAACATCAGAAAACAGGAAACAACATGAAAATAATGCACTAGATTTTAATGAGCCACAGAGACTGTAGGATGTCGTCTACCTACTGAAAACAACATTGAACTCCCATCTGTCTCTTTTGCAGTACTGCTACCTCTGCAACATACAAGACCTTTCCAAACTGCTATTCTGATGTAATAACCTTCCACAGATAGAATTAAATCCTATCTTCTGTTTTACATGCATCTCCAAATAAAATAACTCATTCATATTCAGCTTTTATTTACTCCTAGGTGCAATTCCATGTACTTAGATGTAAGCGAGGGCAGAAATTGAACCAGTGGTTTGCATAGGAGCTCTGTTTGTGGATCCTGCAGACAGAATTTGGTCTGCTGGGACATCATGATATATGCTTTTACTGTAATATATCCTCTTCATTTTAAAAGTCCTTGTATGTTACAAATTCATTTGAGATGTAATTTTAAAACTGTAATTTTGCTAATATTTTCTTCAACTAGGAAAAATTAAATCATATACAGTGTAATTCATTTAAAACACAGGGCTTTTCCCACTTTGGGACCTATTGCTTACATTATAACAATCCTTGGTGTATACTAGTTAAGCACATAAATTGCTTAAGTGCACAGGAACTCTTGGCCCAACTGCCTATTTTGTAATGTACTCGATTAAAGTGCATAATTGGTAAAACTGAATTGGAACTATCAATTTCAAGCCTTTTAGAGCAGCTTGGACATACGCAAAAACTACTTCACAGTTAGGGCGGCTAGGAGCTGGAACCAACTTCCAAGGGAAGTGGTGCTGGCCCCTACCCTGGGGGTCTTTAAGAAGAGGCTGGATGCCTACCTGGCTGGACTCATTTGAGTCCCGTTTCTTGTTTTGGGGTTTTGTTGTTCTCCCGCCCTGGCGGGGGGTCGGGCTAGAAGATCTACTAGGTCCCTTCCAACCCTAAATCTATGAAACTATGAAATGACTAAGGATGTGGACATAACTAATAACCAATTTAAAGGCAGTCCAAATCTGAAGTGGACAGATGTAACACCTGGTTTAAAACTTTCTGGAACTGTTCAAAGTGTACCTGGAAAATCAAGTATTCTTTTGAACTGGTTCACTGTGAAATAGGTCTGTTATATGTGGATACTAGGTGTTCTGTGACACAAGTCTGGTTGGTCCTTTAGGCATCCAACTCTGCCTCATTCCTTGCTTCTCCTTTTCTGCCTCTGTTGTGATAACTGACTGCTCTGGTACACAGCCAGAACTCCATTGCACTTTTTTTTCCTTTTGTTGATGCTTTTTATCAGTGAGCTCCCTTGCGCTGCTTATTCAAAAAGAACTATCTTTCCAACAATCGTGTCCTCACTCCCTACTCAACCATGGCCCTTCAGCCCCTGGAAATGCAATCCAAGCACTTTTTCTTCCTCCTGGGTACCCCAAATCAGGCAAGCACACTGTTGAGTTCAATTTCAGGCTGCTGAACTTCATTGAACTTATGTTTAGGAGAGAAGGGAAAGCATAAAAGTGAAAATGTCCTCAACCACAAGCCACTGACCCCTGGGGGCCTCCAAAGCCATGGGTACAGGTACTCTTCTTGCCCACTCATCCACTGTGGGGCAAGCTGGGTGCTTGTTCCCACCCCTTGATGTCAAAGCCATAGCATGCCAGTGCCTAAAAAGTAGCCATTTTATCTGGCCTGGACACTATTTGTGTCCCACAACAATTATGAACACTTCTGACCCACACCAAGTGTGAACCCATTCTCAATCTGTGACATTTGGGAGTGGATCAGTTGTTATTGTGTCTATACCCTAAGTGTAGGCAATTTCAAAGCTGCTATTATGAGAAAAAAAATAAAAGCTTTAATGAGGTACATAAAGCTTAGGAAGTCTGTTTCTATGTGCTGCTTGCAGATATTAAAAAAAAAACCAAAAAAAGTGCTTTACCAGAAGCAGCAGGTTACTTAAGACCCTTAGCAGTCTGAAGTAGCACCACCAGTGGTGGCTGTGTGGCAGTGTTCCTGCCTACCATGTGGGAGACTTGGGTTCAAGTTCTAGCAGAGGTGACTTGGAGTGAGTGAGTAAACAAGAAGCAAATCTTCTTAGCTTTTGGAGGGACTGGTTGTATTCAAGTCAGCTGGTCTGGATGATCTCCACCCTAGAGTACTAAAGGAATTGGCTGAAGTTATTGCAGGACCCCTGGCATGGCTTTACAAGCACTTGTGGTGCCAGAGGACTGGAAGAGGGCCAATGTGGTTCCCATCTTCAAAAAGGGGAAGAAGTGCTGGGGAAACCATAGGCCAGTTAGTCTTACTTCGATCCTAGGCAAGCTGTTTGAGAAAATTATGCTGGCACACATCCATGAGGGGCCAGCAAGGGATTTCATGCTTAGGGGCAACCAGCACGGGTTCATCAGTGGCAGGTCCTGTCAGACCAACCTGGTGGCCTTCTACGAT